CCCCCCAGGCTGGTGGTGCGGCCGTGGCTGGTGGTGCGCACGTTCCACTATTTATTTATTTATTTGTTTCTGATTCTTTTTTTTTCTTGTATTTTATCGCTCTGCTAAGGGTTAGGGTTAGGGTTAGGGTTAGGGTTACCCTAACCCTTGGGGTCCATTTTATTTTGGTATACCTTTTCTAGGTACGTTAGCCTGTNTTGTTTTCTTGTATTTTATCGCTCTGCTGACCCTTGGGGTCCATTTTATTTTGGTATACCTTTTCTAGGTACGTTAGCCTGTGACCACGGAAATTGACCGAGTCAAGTGCTGGATTAGTACGGAGAGATCGAGACAGAAGGAGGTACTGGATAGAGAGACCGGGATGGTTTTTAATGTGAAGACAACAACATCAACAACATTTGGGGTGACGGGGTCGCAGGGTCCGACAACCCACACACAACAAACACACGCGCACGCGAGCTCCACCCCGATGCGCACCACACCGTGTCACAACCCACAACACATACCCACGTCCTCGAGCTCCACACCGATGCACATCACACCAAACATGGAGAGCACCGACAACCAGTCAGAAGAGACGGTAGTGGCAACAGCAGCTGCAGCCTGTTCGATCATGATGGGGCTGATCCTAGACGAAGAGGCATTCGAGGAAGAGTGCGCTGCTGCTGCTGCTGCTGCTGCTGCACTCGAAGAGGAGGAGGAGGAACCCAAGGCAAAGCAGCAACGGCGGTCTTATCCCCGGCCAGAGTACATGAAGTCGCCCTGGGGACAGTGGCTAGGGAAACTCGCAGAGCTGCATGCTTCGGAGGGTGGACATCACGAGGACAGCCGAGAGGCACGGCAGTTTGTTGGTGCTTTCCGAGTCTCCTACGAGATGTTCCTCGGCATCGTCAAGGTTGTGGCGCCCGCATTTCCAGCAGCAGCACACGACGTAGCTGGCCGGGAGTGCGTTCCCGTGGAACTGAAGGTGCGTTGTGACCCATCTGGATTATTACTTGACGGTAGGACAGCATGCGAATTACTGGTGCTTGCTGTTGTAGTCTGCAGCAGCACACGACAGCAGTACCAGCAGCCTGTGTAGCGGCTTGAACTCTTCTATTTTCGTCTCTCCTCTGTGCTGTGCACGAGCTTCAGACGTGTGAACGTAAAGAGAGAATCCTCGCACAGCAGTCGTGTGTACCACAACGTTTTCCAGGACCTTTACCTACTGCTGTCCGGCCTCCATGAGGGCAATCCCCTCGTGCTCGTGGCCCTACAACCGCAAATGACACAAGATACCATACCCCCTGGACCGATTTTCAAAGGTCGATTTCTCAACTGCAAAAGGAGTCAGCACCGAAAACGGCGCCGTAGAGCCCTCTCGCCGAGAGCTTTCCGAAAATGCATCGTTTCCTTCATGCATCCTCTTGGCCGTGGAGTAATCCGAGCTTTGAAAATCGGTCCAGGAGGTGTGGTATCTTCTGTCATTTACGGTAGTGTTGCCGGGGTGCGAGTACCAGACTTATCGACTTTCCCGCTCCATCGTAGCAGCAGTGGTGCTGTGTTGTATTTTTTTGCGTTGACATGCCCTTGTACTGTTCCTCGCGCAGCACGCAGCAGTCGTACCAAAACATTGTTGCAAGGGCTGCGAGCTGTACTACATACTGCCGTACGGATGCCGTCTGGCTTGCAATCGGCTCGTGCTGTTGTTCTTTGCCGTGCTGCCGGGAATGCGAGTGCCAGACTTGTAATTCCTCCGCTCCGTCGTAGCAGCAGTGCTGTCGTCTTTTTTGGTAAATAGCGCTGACATGCCATGGCACACGTGCTGTTGTTCCCGATTTTCGGGCTCAGAACGGCACACAGCAACAAATAGACACCTTATTTTAATACCGAAACATGTGGATCTATTTTTGCTGCTCCGCCGTACACGCCCGGTTCCCGTTCGTCGCTGCTGCTGCGGCGACAGGTGTGCGCGGCCCTGAAGCTTTTAGTATCGGATTCCTTCCAGAACGTCGCCACCTTCTCTGGGATGAGCGTCGCGACCGCCGAGAAATCATTCCACCACTTCTGCGAGAAGTTTTCGGCGGCGCTCTGGGACACGTGGGTTAAACTCCCGGTTGGAGACGAGCTGAAGGAGGTGGAGCGGGTCTTTCGGAAGAGCGGCTATCCGGGGCGATAGTTCGACGGACTGCACTCACTTCAGGTGGCCAGGCGGACCCTCTTCGGAGGCTCGCATGAACACCGGCAAGGAGGGCTACCCGACTGTGGTCGTGGAGGCGACATGCGACCACACCGGTGAGTTTTGTTCGGGCAGCACCTCCTCTTGGCTTGTGTGTGTGTAGACGTGTAGACGAATTTCCTACCGCTGAGGGCCCACGAGATCGCAGCCTCTGATACTGGCGCTCTATTGAGCCTATAGCCCTCTTTTTGCGGTTTCTCCCAAGCAACCAAGTCTCCGCATGACACGAGACAAAGTGCTTTACTGTTGTAGTGCCTCCCTTTCGATCCCGACGAAAAGCGGGGAGGGG